GAATTGAAAGCGCTTCGTGGCCGCAGCTTGCGTATTTACTCGTTTAGGTACCCCGGCCCTTATACTTGTAATTACGTTTGTTGTGAACGTTCTTCTTTGGTCCTTGACTGTGTGATATAGTTACTCACCCCATTATAGTTCTTATTATTATTAGTATCAAACGAACCGGCATTGCTATCTTGAACTAAATTTGCGGGCGAGCGTCGCTAGATGTCATGTCGCGCATCCGACAGATTCAGCAATTACAATCACACAAATATTTATTGCTTACGATAAGAAGGTATTTACAAAACTTATGGCTTGGTTTAAATGGATGTTTGAACTGAAAAGAGATAAATCCATCAAAAACTCGCACATAATATTGGCCCTGCTCCTGTGCCTAAATCAAAATGTTTCTTGGAGAAATACGCGAACTGTATCAACATGCATGAAAATCCATTTCACTGCTAAAAATATATACTGATTTCAATGGCAAGTATCGTATACCATGAACTAACTATCAATTATGTAGATAACTTCGAAACGTCAGAAGAGTAGTCAGTTAGTATTGGTTAAGATATACATTAATGCGTATTTTTATTATTATGTATATTTCACGTGTATATTTATATGAATAAAATTTATATTTCTGTAGAATAGTGCTAATTTGGTATGCCATTTATTCTCCCAGAGTTAATTGCTTACATACGGTATGCACATAGAAGACTAATTTCACTCTGTCGTATAATTCTGAAGTTGTTTGTTGTATCGTCTTATATCGAATTACCCTGTCACTAGAAACTGTATAATTATATTCTGAGACTATTATTTAACGAGGATGTGGTCACGTTTTGAAATAATTACATTGAATTTAGTTCTGTTACTTATAATCTACTTTTATTCTATCTAGAAAATCTACTTACGATAAAGGGTCCTTTATATAGTCATCCCTCCTTAAAATTCTTCTTTCTATTCCATTCTATTCGATCTGATTCTTCTAAGCCACATGCACATAAATATCAAATACCCCCACCCCACCCCACCTCCTTCCAAAAAATTTTCGTCTTACTCTTTATCAAGTTTGAAGAAACTCCATCATCTATATCAGCAGAAAAGCATTAATATCTCCTTCCCCAAACGTCGAAAAAAAAAACCAGCTCTAAAAGTCTACCTTTGCTCTGCTTAACAAACACAACTGTTGGGCAAAAGATCTTAAGTTACAAAAATCATATTCGATTATTTTCCACGACACGAGTGCAAAATAACTACAGCGTGGATCCCTTACAGACGAAGTCAGAATAATTTTGAGGAGAAGAGGTTTTACGGTCAGTACGGGTAAGTTTTCTGTTATGATCCGAAGGCACGCTGCCAGTTATCCTGATTATAATGATACATAATCATTTCTCATTTAATAGACATGGCGGTATTGGGTTCAGATTATCGTACAGTGTAAGATAAATGTTGTTACTGGGTTTTTTTTCCTATTTTATCCGTATTTGTAAAGTATAAAATAATAAAGTTTATTCATTTATAAGGTGATATACTTGCGTTGGAAGGAGCGTTATCAAGATACGATAAAAAAATCACTATCTCTGTCTTGGTAGCTCGTCCGCAGATAGATTATTTTACGCAGCAGACGGAATGAGAGATGTGTTCATCAGCTGCCCAAAGATAGAGCAAGATATAGCATCCTAACGGGTGAATTAAATATATAGGGGTAGTCACGCCGAAAAATTGTTCGACACAACTTCGGGCCTTCCCGAAACTTCTCCTCCCGTAGAAAGTATCATAGATATAATGATCGACGACGACGACGATACTACTGAGCTGATCACTCACCCCCTATCGACGATTATAACAGAACAAGAATCATTACTCAGTTTAACGAATGTCGAACTGGTAATTTTACCGAATCACGAAAATTTTTATAAGATTTAATGCAGGATATTATCCTTTGTTGTACACGTCTAGTATCGGATGGGAGAGAAACCAACGAAGAAAGCTGGTGTTGGAGAATGAAAAAATCAGGACATTACAGATAGAGGTTTTGGCGGTGCGAAGAGAGATTGCATGTATTGAGAGAGATATTTTAGAAGCACAACAGGTGATTAGGCAAACTTGTATTATATTTATTTCAGTATATAAGCCCCCAATTGTTATAAAGTGGATTAATAGTAGTATTTAAAATAGCGAGTTACGATTAATATTTTATTGGTTTGTGACATTGTATCACACGAAAATATAGACACCTAATAACTAATAAACTTACTATCGTCTTATATTCAGTCTGTAATCTCTAACTTTTGGCATATGTCACGAACGATTAACGATTAACGATTAATCTCAGTAACCCCACTTTAATGATACGGGTATCCCCAACAGCAACAAGAACGGTGACATCGCTCAATATTAAGTATTCGTAAATTTATTTATCAAATAATAAAAAAAAATATTAATATTGCAGGAATATAAATAACATTGAATTAATAAGAATAACAATATGATGAAAGAATTCGGAATGTTTAACCTACTTCTCGAGCTGAGGTTTCAAAATTATACATTAATGTATTCTAAGGTCAGATTTAAGTTCATTGTTTCCAACGTCACATTCCGTGTACAATAATGGTTACAGTGCAATGAGAATTATTACTTAACTGACAACTTTGACAGTATTTCTATGCACTTGAAATGTAGTTTTATCAGCATCGCCAAGTTTAGCTACGTTTTAATTGATGCAAAATTTACATTCAGAGTTCAAGTTTGATCATTCTGATGATTGCAATTCTCTTTTGAGTGAGTAACTGACTATCTTTGTGATATGAGAATATTACTGCTATAATAAAGATTCGAAGTTAACTTATCTTAACCACACTGTTTAGATTAACCGCTTCGGTCATTGATTTTAGCTATTAACACTTTCAAAGTATTCTAGAGTATTCATAACAATTAAAAAATGCTAAATAAAATTACTGTTTAGTTTATTTATCATGTATACTAGTTCAACTAAAAGGTCGGCTATTGCTACATTATTTCGCCACGTTTGCACCATAAACTTGTTACCCTGTATTTAAAATTTTATTATAATAAACTAATACAGTTAAACCACATTATTATTATCGTTATATCAATTTAATATTATATCATTTCAAACGCATCTCAAAAAGTACGGTACGTGATACATACTAATTATAATACAATGATGGACTGGACTAATCTTATTCAAAAATCGTTCTGCCTGTCGTATGTCGTCCCTCCAATCATATAACAATCCATAAATCGTTTAGACCCTAGTGCATATTTTCGTGTTGCCTGTAGAGAAATAGAATCCAACGCAGATAGAAGAGTTTCCTTTAAACTGTTACAAGCGTAATTGCAATGTTGTCGTGTATATCGTTTGGCAGCATCCCAATATTGCTCAATAAAATTTAGCTCAGAATAGAACTGGGATCGAGAATAATTTTATGGCACATACTCTCACGGTCCTGAAACACATGATTTTCTTTTTGGTAAGGTTTTAATATTATTTCCGCTCACTATATACAGTGGGTGACCAAAAGTCTCCGACCACCCCTTAAAATTTTCGTTGATCATGCATAACTCCGTAACGAAACA